TGTTGCCGGATTTGCGGTACTTTTTAACCGAAAATGCGGCAAAAACAGGCGGCTTTTCCCGCGCAGAGGCCAAAGGTGTTGGCTAGAACCCTGCATTTGACACACATTCTTTGGATCCGAAGGGAAGCGCTATTGTCTTTTTTGGGGTTTAAAGCTGAAAGTTTGACGAGATTTTTATCTAGATAATATGATAACGCTAATTTTATTTCAACAGATCCCGAGGACAACGTACTTTGAAAAATGACCAGACGAGCCGTGAATGATCCCACACTACTGATTCCCGAAGACAGCATTTTGTATCGTAAGACAATTTCCCCAATAGTTTGTCCCGTCTGCAATTAAATATGCCCTTGAAAAAATTGTTGACATGTCGAAAAAGAGTGAAAAACTTGCTTCGTTTTTAAGGGTGAACAAAGCACTGCGCCTCTAAGCGCCTCTAAATGCATCCCGGCAAAATCCTTAAACGTAAGACTCTATTTACACGATGGGTTTACCCGTCAGTAGTGGACTTATTTAATAATGTTAAAAAGATTCTTGACGTGTCGAAGAAGAGTTAACAAAGTGCATTTTTCTTTGAGGCTGGACAAAATGCTGGGCGTGAGTCTAGATGTATTATTCCATGAGATCCGGCAAAATCCTTCCTCCACTTTATAGGTCTGCCCCTTCTTATCTCCATTCTTTATCCGGTCTACTTCCTACCTCAACCTCCATTCTTTGCCTGTCTAAATGACTTTCGAATTTGTCAACCAGCGTCATAGATTTATCTATAGTTTGGCTCCGCCGAGAATTTCGCGGTCCACTTACTTATTTTTCCGCCTCCTAATGTTTTAACATTCGAAAACGAGTCTACTTTTGAAAATTCAAAGATTCAAAATATGTTGCTGAGAAAAAGGTATGGAGGAAAAATAAGCGGAAAATTCTATTTTTCCAATATTGAATCTTGCTTCGATAATCAGCGAGAAGGAAAAACAAAAAGGTTAGAAGGAGAAAAACCAATACATCCTTAATGTCTGTGACAGTTTAGACTCCAAAAAACCTTACTTCCCCCTTCTTTTATTTTTAGAAGCTCACGCAGCATTATAAACTCGAGTTAGATTGAGTCCAGCGTATAATTCTTCATTCAGAACTAATCAATGATTTTCACGGGCTTAGATTATATGGAAGTTATTTTGCCACAAATCATTATTAGGGACCCTTAGTGTGTCCATGAGTCAATGCGCGATCGAGAGCATTTTTTATCCAAGAGGAAAATATAGGGAGAATCTCCAAAAATAGTGACAGCTTTAAAGAGAATAAATGGGCATTGATTCGGGTTAGTGGGGTAAAATTCATCTTGAGCGTATTTCGTACATACTGGCTTTCTAATAATTGCAGCTATAAGAGGATAGTTTGAGTATTATTATTTACTTACATTCATTTAAATCCATTATATTCAGATACGGCGTTACGCCTTTTCGGATTTGAGTGCTTTCGGTATCTGGATTGAACTTTTCCCAACGAGCAGGTTAAGGTGATTCGTCAAGCTCAAGTGACGTGGTCGAACTGGCATGCGATACATCGCATCTTTTAGGTAAAGAATCTCGGCGGATTTTGAATTTTCAGCGAAAAAAAAGGATGATAGCTCCTGCGCATGAGCTAACAGAAACATTCTAAACCCAAAAATCGGAAAAATTCAGAGAAATGAAAGCAGAATAGTCTTTGGAAAAAACCTCGCATTCGATTCAGCTATTGATTTCTGTATCAAATGCGAGGTTTTTTTCCAAACCCTATTCTGCTTTCATTGCTCTGAATTTTGCCGATTTTTGGGTTGAGAATGATTCTTTAGGCTCATGCGCAGGAGCTATCTTCCTCTTTTTGCTGAAAATTCAAAATCTGCCGAGATTTTTTACCTAAAAGATGCGATATATCGCATGCCAGTTCGACCACTTCTTTTGAGCTTGACGAATCACCTTAAGAGTTCAAGCAAAAAAATCACGGGAGACAGAATAATGAATATTTCTCTTTCAAAATTTTGTTGTCCCATCAAAAAGTTAGAAATAGACAAGACGCTGTAAAAAAATAATCAACTTATATTTACAAGATTAATATACAAAATATCCGGAGTTGGCGACGATAAACATCTATATACACAACAATCAGTCGATAACTTAAGGTAGAAAACAAGAGACATGACTGGAACAATAAATTAAGTACAACAAAGATAGTGTCAGTTTATAATTACATTGTAAATAAATAGTCGACTTCTGACGAAGTACTTTCGTTACTTGAGCTCAAAATCATCAGATGCCCTGATCCGGATTCCCGATCGAGGAGATCATCAAGTGGACAGGTGAATCCCTCTCGAATCGCGCGTAGAGTCCAAAACTTACATCATGGAAAATTAGCTGAGTAAACACTTAGGCCCTGATATCTGTTGAGATTTTTCATTGCGCTGAGCAAACTAAGCACCACTTCAAACGCCACCTCTTTTTTGAGTGCTTTGAGATCGAGAACACTAAATTTCATCGTAGATTTACTGTCAACATTGCCTGTTATTACCCGTTATTGTATGAGTTGACGTTTCCAAGAGCCACTTTGGCGCATTGTTTTTGGAATTTTCAGCGAGAATCTTGTGTCATACCGGGAATTTAGCTCACTCAACGGCGCAAGGGAAGGGAATCTGAAACGGTTATTGATGTCTTGCGTTAACTTGATCAATAAATAAAAAGTATTGAGATATAACGGTACAAAAGAATAAAGTAGTCTTACGCCAAACTAAAACAGTCAGTACCTTCAATCAAAGACACCTACAAAATTTAAAAAAAATATCCACGACAAAACGAAGAAAAATATTAATCATTGAGGTGGAGAGAGCCAGAAAAAAATATTTTACAATTTTAAGATGTAAATGACTAAGGAAACAATAAGAAATGCGAAAACCTCGCGAATATACAATCCTACTCAACTACGAGCATAACCAAACAAATGGCTCAATAATAATAAAGTATTTGATTTCAACTACACACAAAAAAAGTAATTACGCAGATAGGTATTTATCTTATTTTATATATTAAAATGTCAATTCTTTTTGAGTTGTATAATACCCATCGTCAAGGCGTAGGTTAAATTATGGTTGCTGCTCTTGGAGAGAAAATCTGACTAGTGTACATCACAAGTCACTAATCAAATTTGACTACTCGATTTTGAGAATCTTACAGCGCATTTCCTTTCAGAAATGTTTAAGTTTGTCAAATCACTGTTCAAGGTATTTCTTGGCAAAATATCAACACTTTTTTCAAACTTGTTGGATGAGCGATCCAGCAACATGCCTTAAAACTGGAAATAAAGCTGTCACCCAATTAAAGTGTACTTTTTCACCTCAAAAAGGTAACATTTTTAGTTTTAACCCTCTCTTGTTATTTTCTTTCCGATTTTTTCTCCATTTATATCTGTCGCAGGCAAATAGTACAATTAGGCATTTTGTCAAATGCCTAGGCAAATAGTCAAATGGACGTATTTCTACCAAACAGACCTATGTGGAGGTGAGAAATATGGGGTGTGCTCTAGAAATCTGTATGAGAAGCAATGTAAAAGTGGGCGTGATTCCTTTTGAAGAATTGGAAAAGCGGGATATTACATTCTATCAAACAGACCTATGTGCAACTGAATGCGGAACTCATGAGCCGCGGGCATGGCAAGAGAGCGTTGTGCACAGGGCTCACGAGTTAAAGCGCCCCGACGACCATCTCCCCGTCGTTAGAGTGCGCACTCTCATTGCCGCTGACGTCACTGGCGCACAATTATTCTCATTCACTCTTACGCAAAGAGAACTAACGAGCACACCCCACATTTCTCACCTCCACATAGGTCTGTTTGGTAGAATTACGTCCAAATATTCTACATTAGATTGAAATTCTGCTTCTTTTCCTAATTTTTGACAAAATAATTAATTTCTCCTGTAAGAAAAAATTCTCAGTAAAAATTTGCATCGCACAATGGTATTTTCGACCATTTTTAGCTCCTGCACAGACACTTACCTGGAAATTTTCAGCATGTCATAAAATGCAGAATTTTTAGAATTTTATCATTTAAAAATATAAGAGGCAAATGAAGAGGAAGAGACAAGAATAGTTCGTAGATTTGATGACTTATTTTTCAAAAAAATATTGAAAACTCGCGAGCTCCTCGCCATAAATTCAAAAAAATTTATAGACCGTCAAAATTTTACTATCTGCCTAGGCATCTCACAAAATTCCTGATTTCACTATTTGCCTGCGATATATCTACGGGAATGTATTGATTCTTGGAGGTGCCAAGTGATCCGACGAGAATCGATTACTTAACATAAGTTTAATGGAGAAAATCGGGTGTTGCCGAATTGCTGGACCCGCTTTTGGTACTTAGAGATGAATTCTAGGAATCCAGCAAATTGGCAAGATTGCTTTTTCTCCATTTATACCTATGGGAATACATCGATTCTAGAGGGGCCAGGTGCTCGGACAAGAATCGATTACTTAACATAGGTTTAAATGGAGAAAATCGGGTGTTACCAAATTGGTGGACTAGAGTACCTATATTAAGAGAGTATGGCCACTGGGTCCCATGGAGAGGCTTAGGACCCAAAAATGGCGGTGCTTTGTTTTGGTTTTTGAGGATGGGAGGGGGGTCATTGCCAACTTTTGACGGTTATCACCAACCGCACTTGCTGCCAACCTTACTACATCTAAGATCATTTTTCTCAACAATTGCACACGATTAGCCTTAAAAATATGTAAAAAAAGTCGCAATAGTGCATTTGGGTAAAGTTCTCGTTACGATAAGCAAAGACAACTACATTTTGAATCATTTTGCATTACATTAACTTATGGCGTCCGCCATTTTTGGGTCCTAAGGGCTCCATTCAGCATAAGATGGCTGAGCCAATCAGAGGTGGTAACTCAAGTGGCCATACTCTCTTAATATAGGTACTCTAGGTTTAAATGGAGAAAATCGGGTGTTGCCAAATTGGTGGACCATCTTTCGGCACTTGGAGATGACTTCAAGGAAGCGTGGACTCCTTATCGGGCTTCTTCTTGGGGCGGAAGCGGTCCTCGATCTCGACGAGGGTCTTGCCCTGGGTCTCGGGGAGGACGAAGGCGGAGAAGAGGCCGAAGAGGACGGAGGCGACCATGAAGAGGAGGATCGTGCCCTGGATCTTGAAGTTGGCGATGAAGGTGTAGTAGAGCTTGGTGAAGACGAACGTGAAGACGTAGCACATCCCGTTGCTGATGCCGCACATCCGGCCGCGGACCTCGAGCGGGTAGAGCTCGAAGATCATGAGCCAGGGCAGGGGGTGGACGCCCAGGCTGCAGGCGAAGACGTAGAGGGTCAGCCCCGCGGCCGGGACCCAGGAGTAGCGGCTGAGCACCTCCGCGTCGTCGCCGAACTCGTGCAGGTATCCGAGGATCCCCAGGAGGATCACCCCCATGCTCAGGCCCGAGAACGTCCCCATCGTCTTCCGACAGAACCGGTTGATTATCACCGAGGCCACCGTGCAGGATACTAGCCTGAATCCCAACAACCATAATGCCATAAGATAAAACGCAACACCATCAAAATTTATCACTAACATCCCATTTCGTCGTCTCCCGCACGAAGGAACGTAACTCCATTCCAAGGTTGCCAAATTGACTTAAACAATTAATTTATTTTACAAAAATGTACGTAAGCAATTTGTATCCAAAATATCTCTGTTTTTGGCTTGGAATCTAGAGAAAAATCAGGGAAAATTTCTGTCAGAAATACCCAAAATTCTCCTGATTAATAGGCAATTTTCGAGGGGAAATTTGGCAACATTGGAATGGAGTTACGTTCTTTCGTCCGGGAGACAACGATTTATAACACATGGGAGAAAAAACGAGAAACAAGGCCAAAAATTACACATAAAAATCCGAGACGTTTCGGCACAAAACTGAGCCATTTTCAGTCGGAAGATTAAAAATAAAATATAAAAATCCCAAATAGAACCCTGCGGACTACATGATAGCCGAAAAAATCAAACCGAAGAGCACGCACCGGAACGTCTCGGATTTTCATGTGTAATTTTTAGCCTTGTTTCCCGTTTTTTCTCCTGTGTTTTTTATGCCACCATTGTCACGGGCTGCTGTTTTGAAAAAATTTAATCCCAAAACACCGATCTCCTTAGCGGTGTTTCAAAATTGTAGCGCCTATTTTCTTTTCCCAATAGAGAATTTGCAGGTTTCTCAAATTTGATCTATTCGTGTTTAAGTGGAAACTACTGAGTGAACTGAACTATCATTTTACGTCATAAAAACATTCGTGCTGTGAAAGGTACAGCCAGGTACTATTTTTTTTTTTGGCGCGTATACGTAGTATACCGCCTTTGCGATCGTTTCGAACCCTACTCGATACAATAACCGAGTCCTTTAGTTCCTTACCGAAAAGTGACTACCGCGAACTTCTGAGATTTTCCAAAGCGTGTAAAAAGTTTATTTATCCATCAATAATTATGATTTAAAGTTGTTTCTCATTCTGGGGCTCATTAGTTTATGTGCAGTGAATACCAAGAGTCTACGTTACTTGGTTTTTTCAAAAAAAGCCTAAGAATGCGACGCGCTGATTTAAATTATGCATATATAAGCAGAATCAAGCGAATTGATTCGAGGATGGCTGAGCAGGTCGGCACTCTCGAAATGAGAATTTAACTCCTCCGTTTTGTTCAAAACGTTGCTTTGACAGNGAGGAGGGAGAAACCTCCTTTTGTTGTCAATCGCCCGATTTAAAATACCATTTATTCTTTGCGTGCGCCTTTACACTGTGCCTCCCTTCCATGTCTTTGCGCTTTTAGACTAAACTCTCAGTGGCCTCCATGTGCGAAAGTGTGCGCTTTTCGACAGTCTTATTTGTGCAAGTGCGCTTTTGGATTCTGGCGAGATTTTACATTCCTCTACAGGACTGAACTTTACGATCAATTTTTATTACTATTTTTACATTCAAAATATTATCTCTTCATTTAAAGTGTTGGCAGGGGAAAATTTCCGACTTGGTGAATTCAAAAGTACTCGTAACTATTTCCACTCATCGCACTTCTTGTCCAAATTCCCCCTTAACGGTAGATCACGTTCTTATAAGTTGCCCACTTTATAAAGATATCCGAAAACGTTTTTTTTCCCTACCCCTTACCCTCTCTTAAAAATTTACTTCTGAATACTCATCCTGTGAAACTTTTTGAATTTATACGCTCCACTAATCTCAAAATTTAACCTTTCCCCTCAACCCTTTTGTATTTTTACTGATATTTCCATGTAAATTTATTATTGTTACTGCCCTCTTTAGAGGTGTAAATGGCCTTAGATGCTAAAGCACCGCTTTAAAATAAAATTATTTTACTACTACTACTACTACTTTCTTTCTTTTTCAAAATGCGACTTGGGCTCTGAGAGTCTCTGTTAAACCCAATGGAATGGTAGAATATTTTCACATCCCTTAGTGGGAGCTAAATGGACGTATCTATCATACGAAACTATGTGCATCATAACGTGAGCCCTGTTATGCACATATTCTTATGGGTCTCAGGGCTCATGTCTTACTGCACGTAGTTCCGTTTGGCAGAAATACGTCCAAATGTACTTTACACTAACCTCGTGACGGCGAGCCCTACGGACACGAAGCGCGGATCGTAGGAGCTCTTGAACTCGAGGAAGAAGTCTATGGAGTAGTAGAGGAGGATGTAGAACCCGGATGCGTTCTGCAGGAAGGAAATAATCGTGAGAACTAAGAAGGGTTTAATGACGGTCGGAGACGCGAACTGCTTGAGCAGGGAGACGCGCTCTTTCGGCTGCTCGTGGCAAGCGTCCTTCAGGCTCCGAAGCTCCAACTCCATATTCACGTTCTGACCCTGAAAACCCCAATAATGTTAAATTCATAGTTGACAATATCCCACGAAAAACTTAAAACTTTAATTGAAACAACTGTAGTTCATAAAATACGTGATGCTCTAGGGGGGAGGGGGGTTACGGGAAAAAATTGTAGGGGTTATCCCCTAAAATTGTAGTACTAACCCACTTTGTTGGATGATATGGACATGTTCACTGAGTTGTAGCACTGCAACAATGCAACATTTGGGTTAGTAGACTAATCTGTTGGGGTATTACCAAAATTAATTGGAAATGCCCGTATCATCCAACAATCCCTTATGAAACAATGTAAATGTGAGCGAGATTCTTTTTGGGAAAATGGAAAAGTGGGTTTGACATTTAATCAAACGGAACTAAGCGCCAAAATAAGCGGCAGTCATGAGTCGTAGGCATGGGATAAGAGCGTTGTAGACAGGGCTCACGAGTGAAAGACCGCCACGAGCGAGCTACCGTGGCGGCGGTTTCGTCACTGCGCTGACGTCACTGGCGATTCATAATTCCTATTCATTCACGACGGCTCTCAAGCAACGAGCACACCACTTCTTTCCCACCCATCTATGGTTCAGGGTTGCCACAGAATTTGGAAATGCCCTGACATTTCCTTCATTTCCCTGACACAGTTTGGTGAAATTCCCTGACGATTGAATAATATGGCAAATGGCTGAGAAGACATAATTGAAAATAGTTTTCAGGCAAAATTTGTAGTTCGAAACCTCAAACCCATTTCAGAAAGCAAATCAAGACGAAGATTGAACGAATTTTCCCTGACATTTTCGTCATTTTCCCAGACATTTCCCGGGTTCCCCTGACATTTCCCTAACTGTGGCAACCCTGTGGTTGCATATGGCAGAAATACTTCCAATATCGATGGGCATTCGCATCGACGTCCGATTTCGATGGGCTCATTTTAATGGTGAGAAAATAGGTTATGTGGAAGGTGAGGACTGATGAGCATACCTTGAGCTAGAGTCCCTTTATACTGAGAGTCAAGACAACACCCCTCATGGAGTCACAAACGGGAATAAAGATTACACAAATTGAACGTTTTTCGTAATCTTTGATCGGCTCATTCTTAAATTCCTTTCTCCGTTCCTTCTCTCATTCCGTTTGTTCCTCGTCGAACCCGAAATTCCTCGGTCCATTCCAGATTATAATCTTTGCAATTGGTGAAAATGTAATCTTTATTCCCGTTTGTGACACTGTGAAGGCCTAAAATCCGGTTAACCAATCAGAAATGGATTCGCATTGTCTTGACTCTCAGTAATAAAGGGACTCTAACTGTGGCAACCCTGTGGTTGCATAAGGCAGAAATACTTCCACTTTCGATGGGCATTCGCATCGGCGTCCGATTTTGATGGGCTCATTTTAATGGTGAGAAAATAGGTTATGTGGAAGGTGAGGACTGATCAAAGACATAAAGACGGAGTGCTCGTATCTAAAAGCACGGGGAAAAAGTGAAGCCTGGTTTGGCGCTGGGTGCTTGTGTGTGTAAATGAGCGCGGGAATCCATGGCGCAAACGGAAATTTGATTTGAACTTGTCCTCTTGATTTTTCCTTATTTCTTCTTCTAAACGTATTTTAAATGCCTAAAATGAACATATTAAGAACGTTGGGACTGCGTCCTACTATAATACACCTACTTTTGCTCGGTAACAGGCAGTAATCTCAGATAAAGTTAGTTTTTCTTCTGCTCATGGTGGTTCTGCCGGTTCAAACAGGCCGTTACAGTCGTAGATGACCGTTACTCCCAAATGAAATTAATCGGTCGACGACGGACCAAAACTGACCTAAAGTTATAAAAATATGAGTGTGTAAGTGAATTTGGGCAAAAATCAACCTAAAATACTTTGTTTCCGCAATTTTATTTAGTTCCCGCCCTACATTTGAATTTCAAACTTGTCCCGATTTCGCCGCCAATCCTCTAGCCAATAGTAGAGGTGATTGAAAAGAAGCTTCATTTTTTGGTTTTAGCGCTCCGTCTTTATGTCTTTGGGACTGATGAGCATACCTTGAGCCACTTGATGGAGTCGATGGCCTCGTTGAGCCGATGGGAGCGGAAGAGCCAGGCGGGGGACTCGGGGACGATGAAAGTGTAGACGAGGCCGATGATGGCCAGGCTGGAGGTGAGCATGGAGGTGATGTCCCAGCTGAGGATCCCGCCCAAGGTGTAGACGTAGACCAGGCCCAGCGAGGAGGAGACCGTCGCAGTGAACAAGAGCGGACTCCGGTGCCGCGGGTTGCAGATCTCCGGAATGTAGACCAGCGACGGCACCCCGAAACCTATGTCAGTTTTGAGAAAACAAAAATCGATAACAACAACAAGCCAGGGACCAATTCCATAGGACCCTGGACTCCCGTAAGAGCCAATGTAAAAATTCGTGAGCAAGTACTAGTGCTGCTATCTCGCGTAGGACCCTCGCAACTCACTGCTGTTATCAGTTGTTGGACTTCATCAAAATCCGTAGGATCGCGTATAACTGCAAAAAATCGAATTTTTCGCCCTTCATATTATTGCGGCGAGCCCTTCCTTATCGAAAGGGGTCGAAAAACGCCAAAAATATACTTATTTTTCAAGAATTCAGCCGGCTTATGTGTTATTTTTCAATCTTCGGCTTAACCTCACTTTTGGAGCGGGCGATGGATGAGTCGAGGTTCGGGGGGATGGATCCTCTGAGTTGACTAGGGTCCTACGCGAGAATGCGCTGCAATCACCCGCTCACAACAGAACGGCGTCCGATAGAACTCGTCCCTGAACAAGCGGTCTCATCTTAGTTGTGTAAGTCTCTCTCAGAGCCGTATGCACGTTTAAAAGTACACTTTCATTATGTGCCCAGACCTCTGGTTCGACTGCATTTTGCAATTTGGAACTGTAGATTCTGGCCCGGTTTAAAAACAACGTATGTGTCATTGGTTTCCCTATGCACATAAGTGTTTTTTTCAGATGAGCCAGAATCTATAGTTCCAAATTGCAAAATGCAGTCCAGTTATGCTATCATTCATTCTCCTCTGATTCTTGTATATCAGCTAAAAATAATGAGATCTGTTCAAACGCCAATTTGAGGGAAACTTAGCAAATATAGCCTTACGCAGTTTCTTTATACGGGGTGCAGACAAGTATAGTGTGCATGTTGATGGTGAAACTACGAAAATGTGTATCTCTGCATGGAAACCTGTTAAATGTTATTTTGTGAAAATTTGGTGATTTTATTCCTCTACGTAAAGAATATTCTGAGAAAATTTCAAACCATGATATTGGTTCAGTCTCCTTTTAAAAACTAAAATAGGCTCGGAGATTTTGTAACACCGCAACCGAGATTCACATTTTTGCAGTTTCAACGTCGATGCGTGTTCCTGGGGGCCAAGGAGGAGTGAAGGGGGGGGGGGTTGGTTTAAAACGTCTGATTTTCCTGCAGCCTTATAGTGTTGAAATTTAGTGTTTGTCGGGTGGAAATGGATGACATAGGTCAAATGACGAAGCTTGATTGGTCGGCTATGTCTTATCACTGCTTTGTCGGGTGAAATGGACGACATACTGTCCGATACTCAAGAGGTGCCTTAAGTTTGTCGTCAATTCCCATCGACAGAGCACAACAAAGCAGTGATAAGACATAACAGACCAATCACGCTTCGCCATTCAGCCTGTGTCATCTATGTCCATTTGACAAACACAAAATTTCAACAATCAGGCTGCAAGGTTCCGTATTTGTTGAAGGAGCCTTCGAGTATTTCGAAGGAAATTAGATTAAATACTTTGAAAATAGATTCTTCATTTACCCGTTGCACAACTGAGGATGACCCGTCCGATCAGAATCTCGGTTCCATCGGAGGACACTCCAACGATAGTGTGTCCGATTGCTGAGAGAAGGAAGTGCATTCTTATTACAGATTTCCGCCCCATTTTGTCCGTCAACGGCCCAGCGAGAACCGAGGCAATTGGAGTGCCGATTACTCCAGCGCTGGCTGCAATGAAATTGTAAATGTATGAGCGAGGGCACCTACGTGATATTTTCTCTACCTGAAATTCTGAACTAGTGTGAAGTGAAGAGAAGGATGCGGTCGGAGCACGTTGACCGAATAGATGAAAAAAGACGAGCGAAAATTCAAATGAGGGGTCGAGTCTTAGAGTAAAGATAACTTGGACGATCACCTGAGAGATGGGCACAAAGACGGCTCTCTCCTCCTGAGGCTGATTGAATAAAGTCATCGTTATTTTCGTATTACTGATTTGACGAATCCTTTATATTTACTGATTTTATGTTTTTATGATGTTTATAATTGAATGTGCTCGATACTAGATAGACTGACAAACGAGGCTATGCTCTAGTCGTTAGTGCTAGCAGTAGTAGCGTAGCAGAAGTATTCTCGGGCGGGAAAACATTTCTCTCGAAAAAAACTTCTCAATTCAGAGGAGAGAAATGTTTTCTCGCCCGAGCAACGAGTTGGTGCTTAAGAGAGGTTCCTGGACTACCTACTATGGAACCTTTCACTTAGCACAGCAGCGCGGGGATTGGTCATGTTCATTGGCGGATCCAGCAAATGGGCAACATTGTTTTTCCTCCATTTCACCTATGGAAATGAATCGATTCATGGAGGGGCCAGATGCTCCGACAAGAATCGATTATTCAACATAGGTTTAAATGGAGGAAATTCGGTGTCGCCAAATTGCTGGATCCACCTCTGGTCGTGTTTGCCCTGAACCAGAGCGAAGTTCTGTCCGAATTGAAATTCCATAAATTTTACCGCTTTTTTTCTGATTTAATGTACAGAAGATGATCTAATTTTTTAATCGAAGACAAACTAACCTATCCATGAGGCGTACTCTTTGGTGATTCTTATCGGGCTGTCCTCGGCCTGAAGTTGCGGTAACATGGTGGAAGACTGTCCTAAAATAGCTCCAAGTTGGAATTGGCACATAAAACTGGCCAATGCAGCCAAGAACTGGAAAAATCATAAGTGGTAAGAGTAGTCATAAGTTCACACTGAGAAAAAGCTATGGTTTATAAACCTATTAGTGGTAAATATGGAACACCTATAATAGTCGTAAATAAACTAATGATTCTCGGTCTGTGAACCATACTAAGGTCTCTGTACCTAATTAAGGTACAGAGACCATAACTAAGGTATATGTGCTATTATTATATGTAGAGGTACTACTATTAGTGGTGTTCCATATTTACCTCTAATAGGTTTATAAGCCATAGTTTTTTCTCAGTGCACAGTAGACAAATCGCCGTAACCCGCACGAAGCAACGTAACTCCATCCCAAGGTTGCCAAATCTACTCAACAATTAATTTATTTTAGAAAGTTGCATCTATGCAGTTTTCATCAAAATTTGTCACGATTTTTGCATGAAATCTGAGGAAAAATCAGTGAAATTTCCAGTTCGAATTGCCCAAAATGTTCCTGTTTAATATGCAATTTACGAGAAGAATATTTGGCAACATTGAAATGGAGTTACGTTCCTTCGTGAGAGAAACGACGAAATAAGGCAAAGAACTCGCATTGTCGTGTAACAAGTTTGCAATAAGACCAATATGCAAAGGCCCCCCCACATGGCGTGATTGAACATTTAGGGATTCAAAGAAACTTATAAACAGCGGTTTTATTGATACTACAATATTGTTATTTGTCAGACTTAAATATATTCTTCTATCTCTCTCTCTCCTCCCCTCTTCCCCCTCTCCCTCCCCCCTCTCTCTCTTGCTAATGGTTATATCTTTCTTACAGGTATTAATTGCCACACCGCTGCACAGAATAGAGCAGCGTGGAGCAAACATTGATTTTGACTTTGGATGTTTGGAAGTTCAACGAACTTTTCTCATTCTCGGAGCACAAAGTGCCAAATTAGCGAGTAAAAGTTAGTGTACTTTTCTATTCCACTTGCAGGTATGACTATGAAGCTATTTATAGTATAAGTGGGTACATATAAAACACTTGGTTCGATCAACTTTGCCTCTCGACTCACTGCGTTTTACTTTTAAAAAGAAGAGACGTGTTGCTGTTGACTTGAGATTAACTGGAGAGTTAGGTAGCAAAGAGGGTATAATCTCGTAAAGTAAGCCCATCTGAACAGCTTCGGAGATTTAAACTGCCTTCAACCGCTTCGAAAGTGTGTAACACTAACTCAGTTGTTTTGGATAACTCTTGATTTTAAGAGGTGATCTCGACCATATCGCAGGGGATTTCATCATGAACTCTTACTATGAAACAGAATGTTATCTGAAGATGTTTTTTAACGTATAGGTACCCTGGTAAAAATTGGCGATAAGAGCTGCGTTTCAAAATACCATAGGAATTCTTATAGCCGGCTGAAGAAGGCTACAGAAAATCATATACCTGGCTGTAGAATGCGGAGAAAATCATACGGCCGGGCTATACGAAGCGATAAAAAATTATGCAGCCGGGCTATAGTTCCTACCGCCGGGCTTTACACTTTATAGCCTGGCTGTTGCTGTTTCGCCATCGATTATAAAAGGCTATAAGAAATTGTGTAGAAATTCGTGTGCTTTGGAAATCATTAAGTTTGATACGGAACCACCTTAATACTTACAAAACACACATAATGTTTTCCTTTGAAAAAAATTTTTTTTTCGTCAATTAAAATAAGAACAATCCATACAGGATGTGCAAAAATTTCAAAATCATGAGTTGAATAACGCTGACTCCGCCATATTAAATATTAGAGCCTAACACAAAGCGGAGCGGCGACGCACTGGCGCCTACAAACCAAACAGGGATACTTCACGCATTGCGCAACGCGTGAAGTATCCCTGTTAGATTTGTAGGCGCCAATGCGCGTTTCGCGCTGGCTGCCCGCCTGCCGCGCCGCAGCGTGCCACGGCGCTTGAACCAACTATTTCACACCAGAGGTATTGCACAGTATCATACGAAACTGAAGGCGCTCCAATATATTAGTAATGGCAGGCATCCATCAAAAGTACGGAGCTTTCCTTTCAAAATAAATCAAGATACTACGGCCCAAAAAAGAGAGCAGTATTCCAAAAACTCACTAAGTCCTAGCATCCGTAATTAGTAACGCTTAGCATACACTTTATCGCCTGGCTGTTGCTTAATCGCCATCGGCTATAAAAGGCTATAAGAAATTGTGTAGCCGGCTATAGAAGCTATTGGAAATCGTACAGCCGGCTCACAGTGGGGAAAACGACCAATCTAGCCGCTCAAAAGTCGTAATTTCAAGTGTTTGGTAGAAATCTACCAGAGGTTGCATTTCATTCTCAGATATCCACTGACGCCAAATCAGTGATTAAATTCACCAGAATCTTGTTTGTTATCAAAAAATTGATGATGAACCGTGAGCGTTTAAACAGGTAAGACTGGAAGCCCAGATGGAAGACGCTCCAAATGCGTTCCGTACTGATGGTGTTCACGCAACAGATTATACAATTGATGGTTTTCCAGCATGGCAGAGCCCCTGAGAAGTAAATCAAATCATTTATTTTATTTCCTCATCATTTTTTCTTATATTTTCTATTTCTTTAACACCTGCTCTGAAAAATCTGTGTTTTTAAACTTCAGAGGATTGGAATGTATCAAATACCGGCGAATACCAATATCAGACTTGTACTAGGTGACGCAGAATTTCATGCAGTTTCATAATCTGTAGAGATATCTTGCGGTTTTTTGCGGTTCAGAGAGATAAACGAAGATTAATGGCCCGGCGTCGAGGCGTTTTTGATGCACTAGGCGCGGCGCACATTGGTTCCAGAGCCAGATCTAGGCGGCATTAATTAGAGTATCACCTTTGTTGGCATGCAATACATGTTTTTATATGTGTTTTGGGTCGCTGATCACGAATCTGAAGTCAGTTTTACTCCATCGTTAACTAAAACATGGTAAATTTGCGAAAAATAGCAAATTCACGCTCAAATACCGGAATAATTATTTGACAATTTGGCTTGGAGCTTGCGGTATAATACATGTGACTAATTTAATGATTAATCATCCAAAACGTCCAACGATTTTACTATTCTTCATTTTTGGATGGTTATTTGAGAAGGGAGGGAGGGGGGGGGTTGCCACGTTGAATAACTGAACGAAGTATACCCGCATGATGCAATTAACACGATCTGTTTTCGGAATCTACTCTTCCATAATTTTGAGGTATAAGAAATGGCAGGATGAAAATAAAGTAAAAAGCGTCCTAATAATACTATTGGATAGGGAGAAAAGGCATTGAACGTGTCGGACACTGGTCCGTTGTTTTTTTAAATTAAAGAGGTTGTAATGTATTTTTTTTTTTTTTTTTTTTTTTTTTTTTTTTTTTTTTTTTTTTTTTTTTTTTTATTGATGTACCTACGAATAATCAAGAAGAGCAAGAGTCAGTTTCTGTCCGAAATTCAAGAAATATATTCAAATTCAAAATTAATGTATATTAAAATGTACAACTGAATCTCTTATAATTTGATGAATAATTAACATCATGAACACATTTAGCAATCAAAATAAGAGTCACAAAAAATTACATTGAAAGAAAAATTTCACTGGCTACGAGAGGTGGTGAATATTCTTGCGGGTAATTATCACATTTTATAGATTCAGACAATGGTATGCCAAAAAAAGTAGGTAAAAGTCGCAGCTTTGTTGCATTTATATTTTTTTCTTTTATTCCTTTTCATTGTTATAATTATTGTTTAAGTTATTCTTAAATTATTCTTATTTATTGTTTATTGTTATTTGTTGTTTATAAAATTATTTAGTTATAATGCTATAATTTCTATCTTTTCTTTCTTTTTTCTCCATTAATTTTTCGATTCTTCTTTATTTCTTTTTTCCTCTTCTTTTCTCATGCTGTTTCAGTGTTTGATTTCATTGTCTTTTCACAATTCAAAAAGTATCTTAGTATTAAAAAAACGCCTGTATCGATGAAAATAAATGTTATTGTCTTGTAAACTGAATAGATCTACTAATTTTTAATTTCACATTTTTACTGTACGTAACATTCAATTTTTCAGTGTACAATGCCATTAAGAAGTGATGTTATAATTGATTAGATTGTTTTGAAAGAAGTGTAACGCAACGCAGAAAATCAGATAATTAAGAAAATTCACGTAAAGTGAACCAAAAGTAGGTGTAAAAAGATGGTCCACCAAGCTCTTTGGATTGGGCCATTGTGCGGTGAAAATATAGCCCAAGGGGGGTTGACAAAATATTTTCTTGCCTCAATTTGGGTCCCCCTATCCTTTGGCTACATTTTTAACCCAAGAAACACGAATAAAAATCAAGAGCGTTGACACAGGGACTTTTGAGCGGCTAGATTGGCGTTTTTCCCCACTGTGCGGCTGTAGGTCTATGGTATTTTGGAACACAGATTCTACTGTCAATTTTTACCAGGGTAGTTTGCATCATATTTGAAATCCCAAAAGAGCATGATGCAGCTTAGTTTACTTCAGCTTGGCCATATACTTGTTGCACTAAGTTGACTACTTTAATTTTTTCCCTTATTTAGGATATTCACATCTTATTGCTAATCTATTGATTGTGATTAAGCATAGATTGAAGGAGAATGTCGATAGGTAACATCTTCCGTTATAAGATAATCCATAAAGCTTCCTTGCTATGTATGATCACTTCAAAATTTAGTAACCTGGGCAGGATTGCCCGGCTCAAGGAAATCGAAAATCCTATGAGACGTAAGCTTTTACAGAAACTCGAATTTAGCGTTGGCTAAATTTTACGAGATCAGGAACCACGGGGTCGATCCCCTTTAAAACCCGTGATCCCTAACTTCGCACGACCTGAACTAATCGAGAAAAAAGTCTAGCGTGGGTGGTCTGAGACACCTTGTAAATACTGACAAAAAAGGGGAAAATATGCAATTTTGGTCATCCATTCCAGATTTGTACTCAAATTGAGAGGCTTGGAGGACAAGGTGCATAAGTGCAGTTATTGATTTTTTGAGAAATACATTTATGTGCTTGAAGTTTCAAAATTACATGGAAAAAGTGGAAAGTAAGTTCAAACTGACTTTTTGATGCCTATAAATTGGAATTTTGGAGCGATTTTTTCACAGAATATGCATAAAGACTCGTTTTATTTGATATCGTTAATATCTCGATGGAGAATGTGCACACAAAAATTGCATTGCTTCATCTAAGATTGCTTAATGAGCTGAGTTTGCAGTATTCTTCATAATTTTTTTCTGAAATGGGAATTGGAGAAAAATAGATTCAAACGTGAGAAAACGCACAGCCTTGTGACGTCATTTGGCGGTGTTCTCAATTTAATTACATGTATTTTAGCAAATCAGGTTATTTTTTCATATTTTCTCGAGAAATTGTTCAATCTAGAAACTGAGTTAAATATCCTTGAGTTCAGTTTTCCCGGTAATTTCATTATAAACATGAAATTTACAAAATTTCAGACACCTGCAAATCCTTCATTGTTCACAAACTGCTCTTATGCGCCTTGCTCTCCAAACCCATCAATGGGCCTGTTGCAAACTTTTGCTAGAGCAGAATTAAGAGTTGTTTCCTATAGATAATGCCTCAAAAATCACGATGGGCGCATCGGCAAAGTCTGAAATGCACTCATAAATACACAATCTGCGTAAGAAATTTGCGTTTTTTTGAGCTTCCCGCTTCAAAAACGATACTACTGCACAGGTGAACATTCTATTAGAGGGGTCGCTCCATCGTCGGCAATATTCATCATGGCCGACGCTTGCGCAGTTCCCCGCGTAATTCGAGGAGAGTTCAAGATCAATCAAGGCGGGCGAGGAAAATATGAACGTAAACACGCCGATTGTTATCTGGTCTAGTCCTGCTCAGGAGTTATGTCGATTCTCGTCCCATCACACGTGTTTTGGCGGATTGGTGTCGGCCATGATGAGTATTGCCGCCAATGGAACGACTCCTCTAACAAAATGTTCACCTGTGGTGTAGTATCGTTTTTGAAGCGGGAAGCTCAAAAAACCGCAAATTTCTTACGCAGATTGTGAAGTTATGAGTGCATTTCAGACTTTGCCAATGCGCTCATCGTGATTTTTGAGGTATTATCTATAAGAAACAACTCTTAGTTTTGCTCTAGCAAAAGTTTGCAACAGGCCCATTAGGTAACATAGTTCCGAATTGATACTAACCGGCTTGAGAAAGCTCTCAGCGGACGCGGCATCCTCGGCTCCCATGATGGAATGCTGGAGGGGAACTGGACACCAATTAAAACACCGGACACCAAAAGGACAACGCGGCTTCACTCACGGCCGGGTCCCGACGACTCCTCGACACTCATAACGTAACGTTCCGCACGGAGATCGCGACTGGTGGCACGCACGGGCCTCGAGGAGACCTCCACCTCAGAAGCGGCTTTTATCTCGCCTCAGAGATTCGCATTCGAGATGAGCGAACTGTAAATAGTATTATCACTGCAAAACACTCGACAATCGGACGAGCCTCCGCGCCAAATCGCACGTGGAGAGGACCAGTGGCGTGACGTGCTTTTCGAGATATCGATTAATCTACCATTTAAACTTATGGAAAAGGATCGATGAACAGGGCGTTTGCGATAAACTTCTCGATAATCGATTCTGTACCGTAGCTTATAATAAGGAAATATCGATATTGGATTATTCACGCCTCGCCACTGAAGAGGACGCCTCCTGTAACATGGCGGTTGAGAGACGTGACGAGGGCATCGTTCCATGCTTCGGAGTCGTTCCCCAAAATACGTGACGCAAGTGCATGGTCGGCACTAGAGTCCCTTTATACTGAGAGTCAAGACAATTTGAATCCATTTCTGATTGGTTCCCGTATTTTAGGCCTCCACAGTGTCACAAACGGGAATAAAGATTACATTTTCACCAATTGCAAAGATTATAATCTGGAATGGACCAGGGAATTACGGGTTCGGCAAGGAACAAACGGAATGAGAGGAGGAACGGAGAAAGGCATTTGAGAATGGGCCGATCAAAGATTACGAAAAACGTTCAATTTCTGTAATCTTTATTCCCGTTTGCGACATCCATGAGCCGAATCGTCTTGACTCTCAGTATAAAGGGACTCTAGTCGGCACTAAAAACTTGATTTATTTGTGAGGGTGGATGGCAGAAGGATGTACCTCGCTTAGGGGGCTCTGGAGGACCCGAAAAAAAATTCCGTTCAGGACGATGCCGTCGTTGCCTGGACGAAGGGGCGTAAGTCCATTCCAAGGTTGCAAATTGACTCGAACAATTCAATATTTGGAAGCATTTGTGCTGAAAGGAACTATGTAAATAGGGTTTGCGTGTGATATGGTTCTTTTTAGCATAAATACGTCCATTTCGCAGTTAAATATCTTCTTGGGATTTTCGTCCAAAATTCTTCCACTTTTTGCATGAGATCCGAAGAAAAATCAGTGAAATTATCAGCTAGGATTACCCAAAATTTTCCCGGTAAAAATGCAATTTTCTAAAGGAAATTGCGCAACACTGATATGTAGTTACGTCCCTTCGTGAGGGAAACGACGATTTATAGTGCTCCGAGGACCGAGGTATTTTTCTAGCCTGAAACGGGAGTCTCAAGCGCAATTCTCAGCTATTATTACCAAAAAATTGATCGAATTAAAATTTCAAAGGTGAAAAATAGGTCACACATTTATTTATCAAAAGCTTTCACATTTCTTGGAAGGGGCCAAGAAGATTTCTGAGTAAAGGCTGATCCCGGGACCTCCCTCCCCCCCTCCATAATTTCACACTTACGCACGGAAGTTCATACGTACATATGTGTTACGGTAAGTCAATACCGTTTGGTGAGCACTAATGGAGAATGGAATTCACTTGATTAATGTTCCACTTAAAAGTTATCAAGTGTCTCTATAGGACTGTAAAATTACGACATTCGTATAAGATTGCGTCATTCTTCGATTATTTTTTCACGCATTATGAAGAGCGCACTAATTATGTATCCGAGTTTGATGAATGTTCTGTGGTAGCTCGTACATATCAGCTCGGATTTGCAGAAGTTCGCTTATGCGGACCAATCCTATCCCCACATCTTTTTATAATGATTATACTGAGATTTTATCTGAAATGTGACATCAGAAAATGGTGAATTTTATCACAGGGGAATCTGATCACATGAAATTCCACACGCAAATGCATGCATTGATTGAATTTTTATCAAATGATGCAATTCAAGTTCTTGGAACTACTTTATGTAACAAAAAACTATTGACCAGGATTGCTTTTTAGCCTCCAAATGTTTCTTGACGAGAAAACGCAAGTAAACCTTTTGCCCCTACGTCGATCTGAGACTATCAAAACCTGAGCAATACCGGCGCAAAACGGCAACTCAGAGTCAGTTGGGGCGCTGAGCTGCGAACTGCTCTATCGATCTCTCCTAAGTTCTCCGCAAGTTTTTCACCTACTTTTAATGTTCATAATTGAAAGTCCGGAAGCGAGGGAAATAAAAATAGAGGTGCACTTATGAAAGTACCCCGGCACGCGTGGGGGAGAAGGATTCCGCGAAAAAGTCAACCGCGGTATTCGACCCGCCACCGCAAAGCAATCGAGACATGCAACCCACCTTCAAATGCACTCGTGACAGCGAGATCGATATTTTCGATAAACTTCGACGACAGAGTGCATCTAATCTCGATTATAATAGATTCGAGTCTTCAAGAGTGACTGCAGATAGATGCGATAGCGAGATATAGATTTGTTCGATAGTCTTCGACAGCAGAGTGGATGGAATCTCGATTATAATAGGTTCGAGTTTTTTAAGAATGACTGCAGATAGATGAGATAGCGAGTTATCGATTTGTTCGATAGTCTTCGACGACGAATTCTCGATTATAATAGATTCGAGTCTTCAAGAAGGTCTTCTGCAGATAGATGTGATAGCGAGGTATCGATTTGTTCGATATTCTTCGATAGCAGCGTGCATGGAATCTCGATTATAATAGATTCGAGTGTTTAACAATGGCTGCAGATAGATGTAAAGATTTGTCGATGCGTTGTATCGCAAGGGTCGAGGTCGGAGTGCAGAATTCTTTTCTAATTTTAGGGGCTGGTGGGAACTTTGCGAACTACCGAGTTGACAGAAGTTGACGCCAAGTTATTAAAGTCGTCGAGTGCGTCAAAGTGGGGATGTGGAGCAGTGGCGTGGCGTGAAGTGCGATACATCGATTGTTATGCCATTTAAACCTATGGTAAAGAATCGATTATTAAGGTGTTCGCTGCGAACACCCTGTTTATCGATCCTTTCCCATAGGTTTATATGGCATAACAATCGATATATCGCAATTCACGTCACGCCACTGATGTGGAGAGCGGGGAATTACTCGCTTATTATGTGCATTTTTGTCGTAAAGTACGGAGAGGAATAAAGTGGCGCTGCCTTGAGTGAGCTGCTCGGGCCTATCGCGCCCTTGTTAATTCCTCCAACTTCCGGAATATTTTTCTTGGGAACTTCAGAGCCGAAATTAAAAACTTTCTCTTCGCGGGCTTAGCGGCTCCTTGTTGCTTTTGACGCTGGAAAAGTGGGTGTAGCTTTTTCGGGACTGGATTCCTTGCGAAAAGTGCGCAGACCAGAGAGAGTTCTGGGAAATGAAGGAACTCCAAGCAGTATTGAACCAGAATATTGAAGTCGCGGGAAGAAATATTCCTCGCTGAAAATCGTAAAACCGAGTTCGGAAAAACTTGGGTAATTCTAGTTTTTAAAGAAATGTTTTATAGTAAAAAACCCAACGAAGCCCTGAACAGAATGCTGCTGCAAGGAAACAAATACTTTACGCTTCCAATCTTGACAGGTTTGGTTTTTCAAGACTTTTTGGTGGAACTTTACTCTTCCAATCTTGACAAGTTTGGTTTTTCAAGATTTTTAGGTGGAAAAAGCACGCAAAGGAGACCTGGGCGCAAAATATTGATGGCCAGAAAATAAGTATTTCACTAGTGCAACCTGCACTGCTTTAGTTATTTACCCTTTTCTGTAGACTGCAGAAAAATTGATTCCAGAAGGTTTATATATATGTATCAGCAAACATGGAAATTCCAGCAGACACAGGCTGGCCAAAAACTGAGCCTCAGGCAAACTTGCAAAACTTTAACTGAATAACTCAACCTAACCCTACACTAACTAGGTACTTTTAGAGCTCTTTGCTTGACTTGTTGGCACCTCAGAAGTCATAATCTGACCTGCCGGCTTACTGTTGAAATCGATAAACAAAGCGATAAACAAAGCGATAAACAAAAAAGACATAAGGAATATGTAGCGATCCTATTGGCTGCAGTCCTGGTTATGGTCCTAAGCGGTTCTTATTGACAAAGGGAGAAAATGGTAGCTTATAACTACAGGGCCTTCCGTGGGATGCCTTTAGCCCAATACCCACCTTCCTTATCCCTTGCAACCACTCATTACACTAATAGGATCCCTCCACTTCCTTTTTGTCTTCTTCGTCTATCGCTTTGTCTACCGATTTCAAAAATCAGCCGACTGCATAACACTTCCTGGATACTTAGAAATCAAATTACTGACCAAGAATCAAATATAAATTAATCATTACATAATTATAAAATACCCAAAACTTCGTTTCTTACACGAATACGTAGGAGCGTAACTTCATTCTGCGAGTGCAAACTTGACTCAAACAATCACATGTTGCACTAGGGTATGACTATTGAATTACCATTTAAAATTTTGCTGATATGGGCGTGTCATCAGAAAGGAAACGAAACAGGCTTCCTTGTAAAAGGATAATTTGAAGATAGAAATGTACAATTTATGAGGAAAAGACAAGATACATGCTGCCGTGCTAAGGAAAAACGCCGTATCAACCTTCGGGCGTTGCCCAATTTCCTTTGATAAAACAGGAATCCCCTGGTAAACTTCTGAATATTTTTGTTCAAAATTTTCAGATAATTTTGTTCGTAGTTTTACCTAAAGTTCCTGAAAATTTCGAGGACAAATAATTTTATGTTTCCTCAAAAATAAACATTTTATCGAAGGAAATTTGGCAACTCTCGAATGTTCATATGGCGTTCTTCCTTAGCACGGCAGCATTGCAAACCCAGTAGAGACACTCTTCGATTACGTTTCCATGGTTTATGGTGGTATTGAAAAGGATAGCTCCAGAATGCAATCTGGAACTTTTCCAGAAGTTCCCGCGACGGCTAACTTCTTCGGAAAACTTCGAGTCCATGCGTGTGGGCGTCTTTAAGCGCTGGACTTGCTTGCAAACTTTTCTCACGTGAGATTTCTGGTGTTTTTTGCTCCTCCTTCAGAGGACAAAAGAAAATCTCAGGCTCATCTTTCAGGAGAAAAGCAACAGAGGGATTTTATTTGCCTAGCACTCGACATTACAAGTGAACGAACGATCCTCATTCACCTCGT